ATATTCGCTCTAAAAATTCACATTTGAGTCATTTTAAAACAGGGAGATTGCTTGTATTAGATCTTTTTTTTTTTCTTTCACCTCATACTAAATAGTGTAGATTATGAAATTCTGCATTTCTCAGAGGGAGTATTCCAAATTCCTAAGCACACCAGAATCAAATTACTTAAATTATATCTATTTCATATTCTGAGCGCATGCATTTGCAATTAGCTATGTCAGGCATTTTTCTTTCATTTAATTTCATCATCATCAAGTAGTATTTATTAAGCACAAACCTGGCTAATTAATTTTCTAGAGAATAACAGGTATTCTTAAATCCATTCTATATAAAAGACCTTAAATAATCTGATACATGACATTTTTCCCTTAGCAAAAATTGCCTTTTAATTTTTACCTTATTATTTCAAGGTTTCAGTAGGACATATTCTACTCCCAAAGTCTGTATATTCAAATAAAAAATGTCATTCAGAATTAATATAACAGACTCCATGAGATTTTTATTCTTACTATATCATACTAATATCCTATGTCAATTTTTAAAAAAATCACTCTTCTAGTTAAATATTTTTCCTAAAAGTGATTTATTTTTGAGGAAAAACCTAAGATAAATAGCCAGCTTAAGTTATCGTAATCAATAGATGTAAAATGCATTTTCTCTTAAAAAATTCAGTTACTATAGTTCATGAAGATCTCAGAATTCAAAAGGTTTAGCCAATGAGGAAGAGAATATCGAAGATCTTCAAATCATTAAGACTTTGTGTGTGCTTTAGTGAGGGAAAGGAAAAGCTAATTTTTATGTGGATTTGGGGAAAGAAGAGTATCCTTCTCAGGGTACTTTTTTCTAACTGCAACACAGACCACATTCCTTTTCATTTAACAATAATGACACCACCACGTTTGCTTTAAATTCTGATCACAGAACTGAAATTTTAGAAAAGCATCCTTAAGCACTTCATAATGTCATGCAGACTAGTTGGGACGCCTGGGTGGCTCAGTCAGCTAAGCAGCTGTCTTTACTTCAGGTCATGATCCTGGGATCCTGGGATCAAGCTCATGTCGGGCTCCCTGCTCAGCGGAGAGACTGCTTCTTCCTCTCCCTCTGTCTGCCACTCTGCCTACTTGTGCTTTCTCTACCTCTCTGTCAAATAAATAAATAAAATCTTAAAAAAAAAAAAAAAAGCCACGCAGGTCTTGGTTTGGAAGATGTTAAACCCAGAGACTTCTACAGGTTCTGAAAGCAATTACCCTGTACTTCAGCTACCAATGCCCAGTACGAATGACAGAATCTAAAATGGAACTACAAACATGTAATCCCTGTTACTGTTTAAGCAAATTAGCACCAATACTCAGTCATATTTGGCTACTGAGGTCAATGGCCCCTTTGTACTTTGAAAAGTGGAGCTCAAACGAATGCTTCAGAAATGTCCACAAAGAGCTCCGCGGGCTGAAGGGGTCTGAAATGGCAGATGTCGAGCCCTGACACAAATAGGAAAGAGTTTCTGGGATTTCCTTCTTGATATGCAGACTGGAATTTAAATATTAATGAGATTAAGCATTTGGATAACTGTGAGTAGAGTACGAATATTGTTCAGTTTGCCCCTTGAGTGAGAGGAATTTACCCCAAGAGGGACTCCTAGAAGAGCCAGGTGCTTTTATTTTCAAACACAGATTTACATCTCCATTAGAAAGAACTCAAATAAGAGAGGAAATGATTGAAAGCAGCAGCCCGAGAGGTAAATAAAAAATAAATAAATAAAAATAAATAAAAAGAGAGAAAAGAAAGAAAAAAGAGCTCCTCAATTATAGTCACAGTTGCATAGTGGCTGGGTGGTTTTGCATCTGGCAAGAAGTAGCCTATCTTTGTTTATACCAGCGGAAGCCCCCAGGACAATACAGCACACAGAATCCACAGGAAGAATTTGGTCATACTTTTCAAAGTAGTTTAGTTTTCAAAAATCCACCTTCCCTAAAGGGAAAAACACCTTGAGAACCAACTAGTGGTCCGAAGGGCCAGGAGAAAAAGATGGTGCTCTGGCAGAAAGATTATTTTGTTGATTTCAGGTAAAAACCTAGGGCCAGATGCTAAAGTGGATGTTCCCCATTCTTATCTCCCCTTTGCCCCGGGGACACTGCAGTCTGTTACATTTGTTATCTTCTGAACAGGGGACAGGAACAAAGTCTCAAAACAATTTCTGTAAGACATAATCCTGAATCACAGAACAGGTGGCAATTTTCTGAAGAGTAACAATGGATTATTGGAACAGTCGCAGCAGAAATAGAAAAATACTTTCTCTCTCTCTCTCTTTTTCTGGTTAATCAGATTTCTTGTGAGCAAAGCTTAGTCCTGCACCCTTTATACTGCAGAAAGTAAACAAGACAAATGGATACTAAACATTCACAATAAGGCTAAATTCATGATTGATGCCTCTTACTGTTTAAGATCAGCTTAACTTAAATATGCTGTCCAGTGGTTTTTAGTGGTGTGATTGTCTGACTCAGCAGACTGGTGTCAGGAAAGAAATTTACATAAATGGAAAGTGAAGTCTTTCTTGGAGAAACAGGACTGTTAGAAACTGCTTAGGTAAGGAGATGCTCACTTACACAAACATGGATATACACATTAAACCTGCTCTCCAATATCTGCTTGAGCTTAAGTTATTGCCCATAAAGTGGCTAAGATGTTTGCTTTTAATTTCCAAAAAATCATTTCAGTTCCAATTTTACTTGGAATAAATTCCGCAAACAGAACTGTCATTAGGTATAAGAAGAAGAATATCAACCCGGTAACCACAAGCAGGATCAAGGCTCCTCTTTAAACACAGCACATGCTTAGACGGCTTGGTGAAGGGTGACCGGCGTGACACCAGACAACTCCGGGGTAATGGCCCCCAATCTTCAGGAATATGAAGGAGGAGCTGAAGGAGGCTTCACCACAGTACAGTGGAGCACAGGATCCGAAGTCAGACTGCCCGGGTTCAAGTCTTAGTTTAAGCGGTTCCTGGCTGTGACCACAGGAGAGGCACTAAACTCTGTAATCTGCAGTTTCCCTCTGACGGAACTTCCTAATCATCATCCAGTGTCAACATGAAGAACGCAATTAGAGAACCCACCTAAAGTATTTATCCCCGCACCAGGCATATGTTAAGTGCTAAGCACAAGGAAGGCTAATTGCTGCTGTTATCCTTACTATTATTCTCCTTTTGCTCCTGGTTCTGCATTTCTGAGCCAGATGGGAGAATTTGACAGACTGAACGACTGACCCCAAACTTCCCCCTTCTCTGGACCTGCACCTTTGCCACAGCTTCACCAGGGGTGGACTATGTTTCCCCAGGCCTTGACCTTGGGCTCACCCACATGACTGCTTTGGTCAGAAGTGCGCGTGTGTGTTTCTGAGTGTGCGCGGAGGGGCGGAGTGCCAGCTCGGGGCCTCGGATTTGAGAGGCTTCACTCTCTCTTTGCTGCTGGCCCTCTGCCACCTCAGAGCATGAAAAGAACGTGCTCCTGCAAGCCTGCTGGTCCAGGTGGGGGGGAGGTGACATACACGGAGGACACTGACCTGCAGATATATGGTGTCACAAAGGTACAGCAGCCTCAATCCCAGCCGCTTGAGCTGTCCTACAGAGTCGTGAGGGACGTAAAGGCTTACTGATGTATGTTACTGAAATCCTGTCATTATTTATTATGTCAAAAAAAATTAACTGATCCAAGGAGTACATTAAAAAGTTGTCTACTCACAATGAATTTCTTATTTCCCAAGGAAAAAGGCATCAGCTCAGTGTCTAGATCTGAAACAAATGTGGAGTGATAAGTGAGAAGAGACCAGTGCTTCGACCAAGCCAGCACTCCAAGACCGGAGATGCTCCGAAACTCAATAGACCTTTCTTGGCTTTTGTTAAGGGAGGGTCACGTGTGATAAGTGTCAGATTATTTTTAAACAGCTAACATTTGTTGAAAGTTTATCATAGGCACTGTGCTGGACAAAATGCATATAGTATCTCTCTTTGTCCTCCTAAGAGCACCAGTAGGCAGGCTCTATTGATTTTATTCATTTTCCAAGAGAGGAAACTGAAGCTTACGGAGACAAGTAACTTGTCCACGTGATAGCAGGTGGGAGCAATCTGGGGAGGACTCAAACTCAAGAAGCCTTGTGGCATGGCGTGAGATGAGGATGGTGGGGAGGATGGCGGATCGTAAGCACAAACATGTTCCCCCCATCTCTAATCACTTTGCTGTTTTAATCATAGTATGTGTGCTAATTTGATCTGCAGGACACTTGAATTAGGTATTACCTATTATGTACCCCCCAGAGATGAAGATATGGGAGCACAGCAGGTCACATTCCTCGCCCATATTCCCACACAGCTAGCAATGGTGTCCTGGTCAGAGCACATGGCAATGAAGCTTGATTTGAACCCAGGCCATCTAGATAACCATTATACTATGTTAATATCAATGACCACACTGCTCACCCCAATGTGAAAAGGCAGAATCACTTTCTTTCCTCTTTTTCTGGAAATCTGTAAGCTTTCCCAAGTTCAAAGGCAAACATGCATTCCTGGCACCATGCCTATCTTCAAGGGCATAAAATGTGATAAATAACCTTTAATTTACACTACAATCATTCTCAGGCTCCACTGAGCTTTCATTCTTGCAAGAGCAAATTTCCCTATTTGCTGCCTTCGTGTTGAGTTTTATTTTTCTGAGGCTATTTTGAGGTTCAACTCTGTCTGGTTACAAATTCACAGGAATCCTAACAGAGTAATAAAAGGAATGGGAGAAAGAGTACTGATCATGATGGGTTTAGAGAACAATGTCTGGGGCATAAAACTAACCACACAGAGTGTGAACACAGACAACTATTGCCCAGATCTGTCCACACATCCGCAGGAGAGCCTCGTGGTCTCACATCTTCAGAAAGCGCCTCCACGCAGTCTCCGAGCAAAGGGACACATCTCGAGCGCCTTCACACTGACATGCAAACAGGCAGTCCTACTGACCTTGAAAGCAGCACCTCCATGGATGATGGATTTGATAAAAATTCCCAAGTCCGTTCCAGTTTCTCGAGATTTGTTCCCTTTCAAGCTCACGCCGAGACCAGCAGAACCCGAATCATTCAGGGGGATCTCGAAGGTGAGTTGCTCGGTCGTTTCCAGGGAGAGCGCATAGCAGTCGGGCTCTCCTTTCTGTTGAAGTACGCGTGGAAAGAGTGAGGGGAAGAAACAGGTTAGTGTTTATACCCAAATGGCCAAACAAAGAGGCAACTGGAAAGACAGGGTGATTGGACCTCTAACAGCTGGTCCTCTCTCTCTGTGAGGAGCCACCACCATGTCCCTGGAAGGTAGAAGGGTTCTTGGGAGTCACATCTGCCGAGGGCCAACAGAGAGGATCCTTTGGCTAGGTGGAGTCGTGCCATTTGAAACATCCTGTAAATATCCAGAAATCCAGCAGAGTCTCAATAATTAAAGAGGTTGGACGTTACTTAGGGGGTCTTAGGCACCAGAAAAGACCTTAGAGATAAGGTGATCTTAATGCCTTCATTTTACAGATAAAGAAACAGAGCTTAGTGTAGAAACATGCTAAAATTTGGGGGAAATATTTGGCTTGTGTAATTTAAAACGTATCATTTTCCATGGAAACAATGTTCATGATCAAGAATATCAATTGGAGGGGCGCCTGGGTGGCTCAGTGGATTAAAGCCTCTGCCTTTGGCTCAGGTCATGATCTTAGGGTCCTGGGATCGAGCCCCGCATCGGGCTCTCCGCTCAGCTCACGCTCTCTCTCTCGCTCTCTCTCTGCCTGCCTCTCTGCCTACTTGTGATCTCTGTCAAATAAATAAAATCTTAAAAAAAAAAAGAATATCAATTGGATACAGAGCACTGAAAAAAAATGTTATCTTAAACTTAGGGAAATGTGATTTATGATGAGTATCACTTTGCTCAATTGAGGCCTTAAGCTTGCTTCATTGACAGTACAAGTCACTGGCAACCAGATTTTGAACCTAACCAAAAATGATAATGCATGACAAATATTTGTATCTTCTTTGCCAAATGACACCGAGCCACAAGCACAGCTGTTCTCAAAAAATTAGAGTAAAAGAGAATGGAGGCAACAGGCACACTTAGGGTTCAAGTTTCCAGGGAGAAGCAAAGGTTAATCGTATTTAGCCCCTGATGTTTTCAAATGTACAGCAGTGACAATGGAAAAATGTTGCCACATGATAATCTTTGCAGGTGCCCCCTACGGCCTCCCTCCCGCCCAAGCTTGCAGAAATGTGAAACTCGGCCACAGTGTTTAACTGGAAAATTTGAAAATGAGATAGCCCTAGAAACCTTCAACTCATGCTAGGTCGGTAGTTCCTTCCTCTCTGTAATTATGTCTAGAAACTCTCATCTTAGGGTCACTTTGAGGGACTGTTCTGTGAAATCGCATATTTTAGAAATTACTGTGAATGTCTGAATGTCAGTCACCAAATAACAACTATAAAATCAGAAGTAGCAAAGAACCCATAATTAAAACAAGATTAAGAGGCTGATCATTGCCAGATCCACCGACCTAGTATTTTCAACTCCTACCAAAATAGAGAAAGCCCATGTCTACCTTCAAAGAAATAGTTCATTTAATTTCACTGTACCTGAAGTTAGCCATAAAAATCGGGACAATAGGTAGTTTCAAAGAAATGAAACTTCAGTGCTTGATATAATAAACCTATGACTAGTTAGTTCTTTCAACTAACTCACTGTATTATTATCCAAGAAACATCCCATTATTTGATTCAAACTAGCTGTCTTTTTTCTCCCCCATGGGAATGCGATAGTTAAATATGAAAGGTAAATTGTTAGCCTTCATCTTTGTCTTCCAGAATGTCCTATTTAGAATCCGTAACATTTGATAATCATTTATGTTTCCAGGTCTCTCTGGGGTTTGGTTAATTTTAGTCTAATAAAGTTCCACTGAATTAAAGTACAAATTAAAGAACAGCCGTTCTGCCTAGAAGTTTGTGAACACCATTTTAGAGGAAGACTAGAAGCTTCTCTGGCTTTTTAATCTACTAGAAACAAAGTGACACAAGGGCAAGTTTTGCTTGAGTAATATCTTCAAACCACTTTATTCTGTAATCAAATCCGATTTCTTCGGCAGCTGTGTTTAATTAAGATTGACAATCACTATTTGTATCAATACCTTTCATTTATGACACACGTGATAGGAACAAAATAGAAACCAAGTGATATTATGGCTATCTTTTTCATTTGTGTTTATGTGTTTAAGTTTTTATTTTAATTCCAGTTAGTTAATATACAGTATTCTATCAATTTCAGGTGTAAGATTTAGTGATTCAACACTTCCATACGTCACCCTGTGCTCATCACAAGTGCCCTCCTTCATCCCCATCACCTATTTAACTCGTCCTCATAGCAACCTCTCCTCTGGTAATCATCAGTTTGTTCTCTATAGTTAAGAGTCTGTTTCTTGGTTTGTCCCTCTCTCTCTTTTTTCCCTTTGCTCATTTATTTTCTTAAATTCCACATATGAGTGAAATCATATGGTATTTGTCTTTCATTTAGCATAATACTCTCTAGCTCCAGTCACGTCATTGGAAATGGCAAGAGTTCATCCTTTTTTGTGGCTGAGTAATATTCCATTGTACACATATATCATATCTTCTTTATGTGTTCATCAGTTGATGGACACTTGGGCTGTTTCCATAATTTGGATACTATAGATAAATCTACTATAAACATTAGGGTGCATGTATCCCTTTGAATTAGTATTTTTGAATTCTTTGGGTAAATACCTAGTAGTTTAATTGCTGGATCATAAGGTAGTTCTATTTTTAATTTTTGGAGGAAACTCCATACTGTTTTCCAGAGTGGCTGTACCAGCTTTCATTCCCACTAGGAGTGCAAGAGGGTCCCCCTTTCAAGTCCCTGATACCTGAAAGCCAGAAATGGAACAACAAAAACAATCTAGTGGCTAACAATGGTTCTAAGTGTTGTACACATATTAATGTACTTACTCTTCATAACAACTCTATGAGGAATATTATCATGACCATTTAACAGATGAGGAGACTGAAATGCACAGCAGATAAGTACCATGCTTACAGTCTATAAGACCTTACGGTGTTGGAGCTGTGTGAGGTCCAGGCAGTGTGGTTCCTGCGCCAGACTCGTAACTGCTATGCTACATCTCAACCTCTGTGAACCGCTATGACTTGGCCTAGTCACAAGAAATCCCAAGACTGATTCCCACCGTGACAGTAAGCTACCATGCAACTTCACGTTCTCTACTCAACTACAGTTCTGTTTTATATCTTTCTTATACTATATCAGGCTCAAGCCATAATTAGTGGATTCTAATAATAGCAAATTATTATTGCTATTCACCCAATGGTGAAGGAAGCCATTATAGTAGTTAACATAGCCATTTCCTCTATTAGAAATAAATGTCCCTTTACCTAATGCACGAGAAAAAATCAATATGCTGAATGCCTTCCATCAATAATCTTGGTTCAACAAAGAACTCTAAAAATTAAACTCCAATCTTGCCACACAACATTTTGGAGAAGAGATATTAAGGCCTCACAAATGCAGGACCTTAGTGATAGGATGATCCCAAAGGCAATGACATATCCACACCTTGGATCCTCCCTTGCTTTCTGTCTTTCAGACAAGAGCTCTTTCTGTACTGTGTTGGGAATGCCCCTTGCTTTTTACACTAACAATTATCCAGAGAGGGAAAAAATCAAGATGCAAGGCTGGCATAGAAAGGAAATCTTGTGAATATCCATTCATTTTTTTATTTTTCCTTTTCATTATTTCTTATTCTTTGCCACATGTCTCTAGATACAAAGTCCATGAGGTTCCTTGAGCCAGCACCAGGATGGATACCTACCTGCCCCTAATGCATATGCCTTGGCCTAATCCCTTGGGACCCACCCGGGGCCAGCCTTTCAGGGTCTACAACTAAAGATTTCTCAATCTTAGCACCACTGATATTTAGGGCATGATAATTCTTTGTTGTGGAGGACTCTCCTATGCATTAAAGGACAGTCCACAGAATTACTACCTACTAGATGCCAGTAGCACCTCCTTCCCCAGTTATGATTACCTCAAATGCCCTCAGACACTGCCAAATGTCTCCTGGGCTCAAAATCACTTCCAGTGGAAAACCACTGCCCTGTACAGTCAATTTTAACTGCTAACTACTGTCAAGTTAAGGCAACTGCCACGTATAGTCAAGTTTAAGGCAAAAAGGGTCCAGAGAAGTACTTTGGGACTGCAATGTTGTCTGCTGATATGTTCCCAACTCCCAGAATGGGGACTAAGTCTTAGGCTCACAGGTTCATGACTGACTACTTAGTTGGTCACAGAATTCTACACTGTTATTTCTCTGGTTATATGTCTCTGGTTATATGGCAGCTAATTTTCTAGGGGCAGAAATAGAGTCTTTGAGGGATTAACAGAGTAAGGAAAGTGATAAATATTGAATTTATTGGTACATATACAAAATGCTGACTTTTATTAATATAACCCAGAAGAAAAATTTACCCTATCAAGTGGTGTTTGTTAGGTTAGTTATGCTTCTATATATACTGTTTTGTACTTTTTTTAATGTATTAAGAACCATAGGCTTCTATAAAATAGTATTAACATAAAGTCTACTCATGTGAGAACATAACATCAAGTATAAGAATGGATGTGTACAGTACATTTCAACTATATAAATATATGCTATATACATACTGACACCTACCCATCTACCTGTTACCTACCTGTCCCACAACCCTACCCCATCTATCTGCACACGTGTATATGTCTGCACAGAAAAAAAAATGTAGTTATCTACTGGCACTGCAATATGGACTACAGTTTCCTTCTTTATAATTTTTCTGTGTTTTCTAAACATTTATCCATCATTACAAAAAGATAAATGTTTTTGAAAGGAATTTATGAAGGTATAAGAACCATTTGCTGTACTATTGCCTTGCCAACCAGAAAGATGTAAACACATCTCTATAACGACACACACCCACACACACACACCCATTTATACATACGTGTTTCCTAATACTACCTATACTATATGTAATATGCATTACCCTATAGTAGTATATATACTGTATTAAAGCTACGTAATATATGACGTATATATGTATTCTCTCTCTGTATATATGCATGTGTAT